GGGGGGGGGGGACGATACATGGGGCAGCTCTGGGGTCCAAATCCTCCAGGCTGCTCCTGGAGGATTCTGGCCTATGCAGACCTAGGCAAGGAGGTAACAGCAGAGAGAGCATGATGAACTATGAGTTGTGCTATGCTCAGGAGATCCTACAGTTCAGAGTAAAGGCAGAAGAAAGCCTGAGGAGGCAAGAATGTAATGAGCGATTATCCAACAGGAGATTACTACTATTGAAAGCATGTTGGCAAGGTGATTCTGGAGGTTGAGGTCTGAAGTAGTTTTTGTTAGATCTTTCAAAATCCCATTTGGCTCTTCCAGAACTTGGTGCTGGAGCCACTATTCTAGGAACTGTCTGGACTTGTTTGTTGTTGTTATTATTGTGTACCTTCAAGTAGTTTCCAATATATGACAACCCTAAGGCTGGGGCTTTCTTGGCAAGTTTCTTCAGAGGGGGTTTGACATTGCCATCTTCTGAGGCTGAGAGAGTGTGACTTGCCAAGGTCACCCAGTGGCTTTACATGGCTGAGCTGAGTCTGAACTTGATTAAATGCTTATTTCACAAGGGAACAGAAGGGCTAGTGTCTTATAGAGGTTCAAGGAGCAGAGACTTTGTTTGAATTTGAATCACTTCCATGAAAGTTTAGAGGAAGTACTCAAAACTGGGTCTATACAAAAAAAAAAGTATTTCCCCATAAAACCTATTCTATATATATCTGAAGATGTCATTGGGAGAACTACAGAGCCTGAACCATTCTCCAAATGCCCCTCTAGTAGGGATGGGAATAATATTTAAAATATTTGGGAAATGGTCAAAATATCTCTCTGCCTTGACTGTTGGGAAACACCAATTAGAAGAATCGTATATTTTTCAGGATTTATTCTGTACAAAATTCACACTTGGTTACTTTGTGCAAATAAAACCGCATTTTCTGTCCAGAAAAAAAAATACAGAAAATGCTGTTTCCTGCATAAAAATGTGATTGTCTTTGCAAAAATATCATGTGTGAATTTTGCACACAATAAGACTTGAACTGTAAATAATCCTAACAAACTGGGGTTTTCAAAGACTTTCTTGAAGTGAGAAGAAAATTGCAAAAATGACTCATTGCTTTCTTCAAAAAGGAAATTAGCAAAGAATTGCATCCCTTTGTGGACTTCTAAATCCATTAGTCCCTCCTCTCTTACCTGTCAAGCCTCCTTCATCTCTTTCTCTGAATATCCTCCATCATTTACCTTGCTTGGTACTTGCTGAAGAAATATAATAAAGAAAGAAGTTGCCCCTTATGTTGTCTATGATTTCTTCACCTAAAACATAATTCCATATTCCATACTCAACATTGTAGGGACTAGAAACATTTTTGAAAATTGACAGTGTGCTACTTATAATCTGTTAGAAGTATCCAGTGCTTTGCTTGCATTATAATTGCACAAAACACTGAATGTGTAAGCTTTGCAGCCTCCATCATGTCCTTTCACTCTGTAATTCTTTGAATGCCATTCTTTAATTTAAGTGTTAGTTTCCCCCTTTTCTGTGCTGTCACATATTTCCAACAGTGTGAGGAAAGCTGTAAATATAACCTAAAAAGATTTCTGGAGGCTTCTTTGGGACATGATGCCATAGTACAAATGCCTGGGGTCTACGAAGCACCAGAAGGCAAACAGTAACAAAACTAATGGTCATAAAAAGGCATGGCACTCCAAGGACTGATCCCAGACATCACGCTGACAACATGCATTTGGACAAATGCCCAGACCACAGTCTATATGTCAGTCATGGTCTGCTGGGTAGGATTGCCAGGATCCCCATTTCCCCCCAGAGCAAAACTCTGTTTAGAAATGAACATTTCACACAATGTTTGCCTTTGGGGAAGTCACACTGCCACTTGGAAGTAATCAAGTGGTATATGTGTGAGAGATAGTTGGGGAAGATGATAATAAAACAACAAACACAGAATAAATAAATGGTCATATTTTGACTCTTATCTTCTTCTTCTTCTAGATTCAGGGGGTATTTTATTTTATCTTGTTTTGTTTTTAATTTATACCCCATCTTTATCCTGCCATGGGACCCAATGTGGCTTACAATAATTTGAAATAAAAGTTAGCTACATGTTATATTACAAAAGTTTAATAATAATAATAATAATAATAATAATAATAATAATAATAATAATAATAATAATAAATTTTATTTTTATCCCGCCCCTCTTCTCGGCAACCAGGGCAGCGTACAACAAGTTAAAACAGTCAACAAGTTAAAACAATCCTTCATTCCAATCCCTAACCCTCCCACCCCCTTAAAACTAAATTAAACTGATGTAAGGTTAAAATAACAATTAAGACAAACATAAATACAATAAAATAACCAATTTTTAAACAAAAACAGGCATTAGCAGCAAGGGGCGGGTAGGTTTTAAAAAAAAAACCTATTAAACAACAGTGCTATTAATGCTCTATAACACGATCAAGAAGAAATTCTTGGTGCTCTGAAGCCCAGGGTGGAAAGTCCAGGCTCTTTTTGATATCCTGCTTAAAGCAATCTTGGTATCCTGCTCACAATGATCATAAAATAGGGATTTGGGAAACAGAATCAGCTTCAATGAAGGTTATTTCTGTTGCTTTGGTTGGACATAAATGTGATGTTACAATCATTGCAAAAGTGTGAAAGTCTTAATTGATTGTAAAGCATCTTCTTTGATTATTCTAGTTCGTGTCTGGTGCTCTGTAGCAAACATTCAAAAGGAAACAGAGACTGTGTTTATCAACTGAATCCATTGATTCTTTCTACTACATTGTGAAGAGCCCAATTACCAAGAGGAAAATAAAGTGTGCACTGATTAAAATGTCATTGATGAGCAATTTTAGCTAAAGGTAGTGGCTTGGATTCAACACAATGAACCCTTATGGAGCACTTTTGTGCCTTTTGAACTGATAACCAGAGAAAATAGCATTGCAAAGCCTGTCCTCTGCCAAGTTCTCCCACTGAAGACTAATTTTAAAAACAGAGCCCTTAGGGAAATGAAGCTGTGTATATTTCATTACTCTGCAGGGGAAATAATATTTGGCAAGATATGTGTATGATTTGGAGGTGTACCAAACCTTAACCATGTTTTGAGATGAAAATGCTTTTGGGGTGGATTGCAAATCCTCAAAAAACTGGTTTTGGTGTTCTTCAACAGGATCAACAGCCTCTTGTTTCCTTATTTGTTGTTGCTTCCTTTCAAGTCTTGTTTCGCAACCTGATTGTTCTCCAGATTTTCCCATTTTACAGTTTGGAAAAGTTTTTTTTGGGATTATACAGAAAACCCTCCTTGTGCATGAATTCAGCCATCCCTGGCTTGAAAATATTAAAAAAAAAAAAAAAACCAAATTTTTGCCACTTGATACATGGGGCACCATTTTACTACACCATTGTATATAATGGGACTTGAACATCCACAAATTTTGGTATCCATCAGAGGTTCTGGAACCAAACCCCAACAGATACCAAGGGCCCATCAAACCTTCCAGAATCTCCTAGTCACTGGCCATGTGGGCTGGGGCATTCTTGGAGATGCAGTCTAAATGAATTTCTGTCCCAAACAATCAAGGAACATATAGCAAACAAGTGACATCATAGACCTCTGTAACCAACCATATTTGGAGCGTGGCAGTGCTCAAAAGTGAAAAGAAAAATGGGGAGGGGGGAGAGAACCACAATCCTACACCCTGGGTGAGAGCCAGCATGGTATAGTGGTTTGAGCATTGGACTGTGACTCTGAAGACCAGGGTTTGAATCCCAGCTCAGCCATGGAAACCCACCTCAAAGGATGGAATGGCAACACCACATGAAGAAACATGCCAAGAAAACCCCAGGCTGCCATGGCACACAACAATAATACCCTGGGTACAAGAGCAAATTGGATCTGAACTTTCCCTAGAAGCCAAAATGACTAAGGGGGGATGCAGACAGGCGGCCATGGGCTGCCGTGGGAAGTGGAGGATTGGGGCCAAGACTGTCCCATGCCTCAGCACCAATCCACCCTTTTGCTGGCCCTGAAAGGAGCGCTAAAATGCTGCTCCTTCCAGAGCCAGCAAATAGGGCACCCGAAGAGCCGCCGTGCGGCTCTTTTGCACCTCTTCCAGCACAGCATGTAAAAACGCTGTGCCAGGAGGACATCCTGATGGCGCTTGCCATGTGTAGCAGTGTGAGCCGTGATGACATCCTCGGGAAGGGGTTGGGGCACCCGGCATGTGGCTGCCCCTTCCCTGCCTCCAAAATGGCGCAAAGCACTATCTGTAGAGGTCCTAAATTGAAGCTGTTGTACTTTGGCCAAATCAGGAACAGACATATCTCACTAGAAAAGATGATAATGCTCAGAAGGATAGAAGGCAGAAGAAAGAGAGGAAGACCACACACCAGATGGATAGATTTGATCAAAGAGGACATAGCCCTAAGTCTACAGGATCTGAACAGCAACAACAGCCTGAAGGCACACACTGTTTTTCCATGCCATAGCATAGCAGATAGACCTTGCAACATAGGATAGCTAGACAAGGAAGTATCAGAATAGCAGAGAAGAATGTGCTTTCTTACCTCATTAACATGGTAAATTAATTTGGTTGCCACTCTACCCTACCTCATGTGATGAGAAGGAATGCCTGTTCAGGAAGTGCACAAACTCAGCTTTACTAGGGTGGCATAACTGTCCAGTTTCTCACCCCTGCTGTAAAAATTCACAGTGGCAGATGTGTGCCACAAATAGGAAGAAATTTTGAGGACATTACCGTTGGAGCTGCAGAAAAAAGTGACATGCAAGAGTGCAAGCTGTTATGCAGTGAAACACAGAGCAATCCACACCAATAATCTAACTCAGTATTATGTTCCTTAGAGTGATAACTATCCTGTTGAAGAATGTGACAAACAACAAGTGTGGCATGCTGAATTTGTGTTAGAAAAGTGCATATGCTTTCTTGAAAATAAGCATCCTCCACAAGAGATACCAGTCTGTAGGAAGGCTGAATTATCCATGGAATGGATAAATTTCTCTCAGCTGTAAAACATTCTTTTCATCTTGAAAGATACAATGAAGAACATGGCTTAGAAACATTGCTTAATTTTTAAACTGCAGTTCCCAGAAGCCCCAGACAGAAATGGCTAGGGGGCATAATGGATAGGAGTTGTAGTCCCAAAAGCCATTTTTCCAAGTTCTAGTTAAGAAAAGGGGCCTCCTGACTTACCGGGACTGGCTCAGTTGCTGGGGGGGGAAAGGCCGTCATGCCGGGAGGGCCCTCCTGCCCTGGCTGTCCCCCAGCAGGCTGCGGCGCAGATTGGCTGCTGGAGGTGAGTATGAGTGGCATTTCTGGTCCGGGACAGGACTACAACTCCCAGCATGCACCAGGAGTGGAAGTGCCACAGGATTGTCTGGCACCGGGGCAACAGGCTACAAGATTGGTTAGGGAGGCCAGGGTTACCAGCTGATTGGTTAGTTGGGGTTTTTGGGTCGTGATTGGTATTGTATTTATGGTAATTTTAATGTTGTAAGCCACCCTGATTGCCCTGCAGAGG